TCTCTCTCTCTCTCTCTCTCTCTCTCTCTCTCTCTCTCACACACACACACACACACACACACACACACACACACACACACGCACACACACACACAAACATGCGCAATGCCATGCATTTGTGTGTTTGTGTGTTTGTGTTTGTGTGTTTGTGTGTGTTTGTGTGTGTGTGTGTCTGTGTGTGTGTGCGCATACATCGACATCGGCGATAAGCCCGCAAACAAAACCCACAAACATCATATTAGTGTGTGTGTGTGTGTGTGTGTGTGTGTGTGTGTGTGTGTGTGTGTGTGTGTGTGTGTGTGTGCGTGTCGACATTGGTGAGCCAAGCCATGTGCATGTTCACAAAGTGCGGTTCAAGCCGCACCTCGGCAATGGAAGTTCCCCACTCTGAACATGGGAAAGCCTTTCGAGTACCTTCGGATATGGCCGAGCACCGTGCGCATGCGCGAATGTTACATAGCTGGCCGTCGTTCTCAAAACCGACTGCTTGCACAGCCTTACGACCGCTGCATGTTGACGGCAACGGTACGCTGCTCACCCCCACTATTCAAATTCGAATTTTCGAAATTGGCTCACAGACCGCATGTTTCTGGCACTTCGCATCCTCGGAAAATAAAATGGGCCTTCCAAGGACTCCGCGGAGGCTTGTGGGGTGCTGGAAATGTTCCGCGGCAAAGTTTTTCCAGTCCGCATCATGATTGCTGTGGAGTCCAGGCCTAAGGGGGTGCTCTTATCACCTCCTAAAGTAAAGCCTCGACTGGAGTTTTTTTAGAAAAAAAAAAAAAAAAAAAAAACTCCAGAGGGAAGCAGAGTGAACAGGCCTTTTGCTAAAATGGACATTTCATGTTTTTTTAACAAAAAATGTCAAAATTTTTAGCTCCTGAGGCCGGGGTTCAGCGCTCTCAAAACGCCGAAACCCTCGATGTATCTGTCTATCTGGACTTGATATAGCTGGCCTCCAGGCAGGGCTCGGCCTCGTAGGCCTAGTGGATTGAGTGTCTTTCTCTGAATTTCAAAAGATTTCAGCACATAGTAGCTGGTTACCTTAGGGCTTCGCGCGAGAAAATTGTGATGGGGGGATTTTTAGCAGAGCGATTTCCTGCTTTGCCCATGACAAATAGACTAGAGTAGACCCAGTTAGATGACAGAGGCATTGAGTGCATGGAGGCTGTGTACCTTCTGATTATTAAGAAGGGAGCTGCTTCGGATATTAACGATAAGACACAGCTGCAACAACTGGAGTAGTCTAGCTGATGATTGACAGATGGCGATCGCGGCCAGAAACCTGCTGATAGACAGAGGCTAGAATGCCTCCAGACGATAAACAAACCAATAACAATGAGAAAAAACCAGCGAACACAAGCAGCTGAAGACAGTCCAGTGTACACTAAGGTACAGGGGCGAATGGAGGCCGTACGTGTACTGATGATAGGCTAGAACCTCTAGCTAAGGTTATAATCAGAACAAGAGCAGTACAACCACATGCATTGCCATCTGGAGAGAGGGGTCTAGGAACAGGATTTAATTTAACGTAGGGGCGGCGGATGCATCGGTGGTTGCACACCTGCTGATGTAAAGCGAGAGCCTCTAGGTTGTATTGAACCGCCAGGTCCGGCACTACATCTGAGGCTAGATGGACAAAAATAAATTTAAATTTCACCGAGCCTAGAGCGACCAGAACACTGCTTGGAAAATTGAGGGTGGTGGGCACCGGCCTCATGGAAACTCAACTGCTGTACACTCGTTTTTCTTTTTCTTTTTTCTAAATTAAAAATAAATAAATAAATAAATAAATAAAATAAAACCAACAACAACAACAACAACAACAACAACATCAGCAGACGGAATGAAAAACAGGCCGTCTTTTCCACTCCGGTGCCAGTGTGCCACCCCAGCCAACCCTCCACAAAGCCAACCCCTGTAGCCGAATACAGGCGTAAGGAAAAAGGAAAAAGGAACATGAATCCTATATGGGCTCAGACTCCAATATAATTATGATATAGGCGGGGCCCAGCAGTGCTTTTCAGGGAATTCGAGGACAACAAAAAAAAAATGAAAAGAAGAAAAACTAAAAACTAAAACTAAAAACCAAAACTAAAAACTAAAAACAGAATGCTTACCAACTGGCCTAGCTGAGTATGTATTAGGACCTGATTGCAGTCAGATTCATTCTGGCCTGGCCGCAACTGCTGTCAGATGCATTTTGGAAACTTCTGAGGGAATAATTTTATGCCATCAGTTGCAGCACCCAGGAATCGTTG